ATCAAATTTAACGAAACTAATTTGAAACTACAAGGTGACCAATTAAATTTTATCAAAACTAAAAGCGTTATATCTGGGTTTGTTGCAAAACTTTTTCTGTACAAACAAAACTTGGGAAGGGGAGAATGTTCTCAGTTTCCAAATCTTTCGAAATTGCGAAACAGAAATGAAGATTTGCTTACTTACTGTCAACACCTAACGGCTCTTCATGCAGACCTGAACCAAAGATTTGAAGACATTCTTCACTTAAATGTTCCCGACTGGGTGTTGAGCCCTTTTGCGTGTGGACAAACTTAAATCCCAAATACAGATGAATCCATTCCAATACAGGAGCAGCGCATTGAAATATCCACAAATGAGGAATTTAGACCAATGCTTGAACAAGGATACAATAAATTCTGGTTACAAAAACAGATCCCAATTTTATATTACGCATTATGAGTTATTGCACAGAAGTTGTTGACTGCTTTCCCGTCTTCCTATTTGGTAGAATGTGGATTCAGTGCCGTTATGAACTTCATCACACACACACACACACACACACAAGAAATTAGTGCTCGTGGGGATTTGCGGTTGCTACTCACATACATTGAGCCGGACATAAATACACTCCTAACGTCTCATCAAGTCATTAATTTTTTTAAATTTTTTTTTATTTCAAACAAAAGTTATAATTTCAATAAATACATCTTTGGCAAAAAAAATTTTTTAATTTGTAATTTTTATACTATGCATTAATATAGCTTTTTCACTTGGGGTTCCGTGGGCAAGTTTTGACTATAAAAAGGGTCCATGGGTCAAAAAAGTTTGGGGACCACTGCATTAGATAAATCGCGATATCATATGCTGCTTCAACCACTCATTAACTTATGAGGAAGTGACACTTCCAAACACGTTCCCAGAAACCTTTCAAATTATTATTTTTTCTGAAATTCTTATTACATTTCATACCCCAAATCGCGCAAACAAATTCAGGTAAAAAAAGTTTTAGGTGTCCATATTTTATATTTACATTTAAAAACACACGGCAAAATCATCAATATTATTTCTCTCAATTTTTTTTTCAGGGAAATTTATTTATATTAAAATGACGAGAATAATTCCCGATTAAGTGTGGATGATGATTTTATTTGCAAAGTTGGCGAGATTTTTAAAAATTTTGAAAAGATGCTCTACATTTTAAAAGTTGATTCGTAAAATCATTATTTTTTTTCTTTGTCTAATCCCATTCACATTTTGGACTGTAATAAGATAGTGCCTTTTTTATTACTTTTAGAAGCTTTCATTCTAGAATAAGTATGTAAGAATTAAAGTCGAGCAATAAGAAAGTACATACACTCTAAAACAGGTCAAGAAAAAAATTGGTTGGATGAATTATTCATATATTTTTCAGAAAGTTCCGTTTCATGTTAAGCGTAACAATCAATATCAAAACATCACACACAAATACATTTGATTTGTATTATATTTATATAAAATATGCGACCAGAAATATAACTCATTTTATGAAGATATTTGTTTTATCAAAACTAAAACATGAAAAGCGCCATCTGGATATTTTACAATTATTTACCTAATTCAAGAACATTCACAGAATATGTCGTGCTGCCATCTGTCGAATTTATTGAGAAACTTATGTAGGATTACCCCTTTTCATCGACATCGTACCCTGTATTAGATATTTATATGCAGATTTTCCCCCCCTCTTCTCCGAATTGAAAATATCATTTTATAATATTTCCGTTAAAGAATTACGCGAGATGAAACCGAATATTTTGATACGTATGCAAGCCCCAATAATTATTTTCTCAGCAGGTTACGAATTCGGAATCCGGTCTTATTTTCCAGTTTATGAATTAGTTTTGACTTATTTCTTAATTTATTCAGTCTGTATGTGTCACAGATAAAATATAAAAATAGGTAATGTGCTGTTAATGAGATATTGTACTAAACTAGGTATTAGATTTTATTTTTGCTCCTTATTTCTAATACTACTTATTTTCATGGATACTTAAAAAAATTTCATTTATCAATAAAATTCTGTAAAACTTACAATTTATTATTTCTGGTTGATTGATTATGATTAAGGAAATAAGGTGTATGGCATCATTCATGTGTTTATTTGGAGATTCAGGAGAATTTATAATATATTTATCTTATAGCAGTTATATATGCGTCACTCAGAAGCCAGTGCAGTTAAATCCAAGTAAACATTTGAGAAAATTGATGTTTGATAGATTAATTTTTAAAATTTTTGGTTTCTTAATTTGACCAGAAAATTATGTCAAGTCTTTTATAAGGGTAGGTTCTGCAACAAAACGAGATATGTACAGGATGTGTAAATAAAAACGTAAGCATTTATTAAGACAATGGCAGCATTTAAAAAACTTTAGACCTTATAGCAACCGAAAAAGATAAATGTATGTAAAAATAATACAATAGTATTTGTTGTCGTAAATTTGTTTATTTCATCGTAACAAACATCTTTCGTAGGATTTAAATTTAAATTTTGATCTCCCCGTGTTCTTAATGTTCTGTAAAAGTCGTGTCTTATTGGAAGTATAAACTTCAATTTCAAACGGCAGGGGGGGGGGGGGCCGTTGTTTTTAACACCAAACAAAAATGGATGATTTATATTTTTTTGAGATTGCTGACCTACTTTTTTTTTTTTATTTCAGTTACATGAAAGGTATCATCCTCGTCAAAATTATACCCTTACAATAAATTTTTTTGCTTTAAAATTTCAGAGTTTTACAGTTATTAAAGAAATGTCATTTAATATTTTTGATATTAATTTTCACAAACACTTCAATGCGATATTTTTGTATTTTAACCAAAATTTAGATATTTCAAATTAAAAGAAGCCACATACATAAAACTCACTAAAAATCGGCTTTCTTTTCAATTCTGTACCTCGAACTATTCTAAAGAGAAGTGATAGTTTCAGTTATTGTGAATTTGTTTCTCTTTGTTACCAACAAATATCGAGAGAAGAATTTTGTTTTTTATTTCAAAGTTTATGTAAAAGAAATATTCACAATGTAAAAGAAATATTCATAATTCGATGTTTATGTAAAAGAAATATTCATAATTCGAGATAAAAACCAACGTTTTTGTATAATGACAAAGTATATTAATTATTATACATTAAATTCAAAACAAACACGTGATAAACACACAAAAAATTTAATTCTAATTTCAATTTAATCGATCCTTTATTAAACACTTTTTAATGAAAAATTTTACAACACATACAAGCCTTTCTTCTTAGTTTCCAAATATTTTTGAATTACCAGATCTAACCGCGTGGAGGTGAGGTGAGGCTAATTTGAGTATGATTGGCTAAGTGTAGATAAATCTACCTGTATTACGCGTCATACTCTTCTGGACCCAAAAATGTGGACAAAACACAAACGAACTTTATCATTTTTTAAGGAACATGAAAACATTGCACAAAAATAAGAATAAATTTTTTTAAAAAAAATTCTGAAATTATTTTAACTGACAAATATTTATTATATAATGCCTTATTAATATTTTCAAAATATTTTTCTCATACTTAAGGGATATTAGCCTATATTGCACCACATCCTTCATCAAACTATCTCATAATTAAGCAATGGATACAATAAATTCTTTTTCAGTTTAAGTTATTTTTAGCAATTAGCGTAGACTAAAAAATTCGAACGGAGCAAATAAAAGTTATTTATCTAATAATTTTTACTAATTCATTATTTCTAGTCGATATGCCAATCATTTACATTCTACTTTCTTAATACTTCTGAAATGCTGTACATCAAATTCTAGAAAACATAATTTTAACTTTAAAATTTACTTAAAATGAGACATTTGTGAGCGTATTAAAAAATTCATAATATAAAATCAAAATATGCATTTGAAAGTATGTAAGTCATTTTATTAAAAATAGGAACCAGAAGTCAGAAAAAATTATTGTGATGTGGGATGGCGCCAAATATTGGAATCTTTCTTTCTTGCGAATGATTACTGAATAAAAGTCAGCAACCCTTACTATCTCTCCTTTGTGAGAAGAAAATTTTTACGATACCTCATGTGGAATTCCCGGTGTTCCCAGAGGGGGAAATTTTTTTTCCCTCAATCCTAAAAGCCCCGAGTGAAAGGGATAGTTTTACTTATTGAAATTATTGAAATATTAGTTAAAACTTGTCGCAAATGTCTCAATATTGCATTGTTAGGCGAGTAAGAACTATTCCCAAAGTTTCAGAGTTCTAGCTTGATGGGAAGTTGGTTAAATTAAAATCGAAAATTTGATGACACCCACCCACACCAAGTGAAATTCAGAATAACGTAGTAATGTAATAAAAAAAAGGACTATTATTCACAATGACTTCCAAAATTATTATACAATATATTCAGAAGCTATCAAAAATGACTCTGACCTGGAAAAAATGAAGGAATGCGAGTAAATCCCTTAACAACTAAGAATATTGTTTATTCCATAATAAAATTGACGTAAGTCAAAAAGTTTCAGAAAATGGACTTAACCGCATTGGCTTCTGAGCCATTCACTTATCCTGCAAGAAAGTCACGAATTTAGATTTTAAAAAAGTATTTTATTGGGAAGTAATCTTACTCCTTTTAATATAATTTTTAAATAAACTCAAGTTTTCATTTTATCTGTATACATTTTTACTAAAAAAAATCTTGTTTATATTTTATCTTAATAATTTGTATACTTTCTGGTAGAAGTGGTTTTGAAATTTGAAGTTGGGGGAAAACAAGAACGCGCGGATTTATCTAATTTCTGTTATAAAGTGTATTTACAAGGATGTAACAAGATTCATCAACGAATTAGCTTCGAGATTTTAGTTTTTTTTTAGTTTATTAACGTCTCACTAGAAGCAACACGAGGCTATTAGCGTCGGACCTCGTAATTTTGAACCACGGTCAAGTGACGAGGACACACCTTCTCTCCTAACAACAACAACACGCCAATCTTTCAACAATCAACCAACAAGACACGCCACGACGGGTCTTTGACGGCCAAAGATCGAATCCGTGACTGAACGAAAACTGCCGCCACGAATCCAAAACCATGACCACTAGGCTACCGTGGCCACAGACTATTGGCGGACGGACTTTGTAATTTTGAATACTCGTCACTTGACCGAGGACGACACTTTACCTAGCACCTTTCTCCCCTAACACACTACGCCAATGGGGGGATTTGAATCGCATGAGTGAGTGTGAATGTAAAGTTTATTGGCGCAAGAACCAGATATGGCTATGCTGCGCCAAACAAGATTAAACTGTGGTCTAGACGTGAAGTTGAAAAAAAGATAAGTGATTGACAAGAAGGAGGGTCGAAAATAAAGAAAGATCGCTAGGGCATCCCGGGAGTGCTTCACCCGTGTTTACCAAAGACAGTAAACCCCATGGGAAAGAAAAAGATCACTAAGGTGCCTCGGGGTCGTGATGCCCGTACTTACCTGAAGAAGGCAAGTCCCTGAGGTCCCCTGATATAATCCCCAGGGGCAGGGTGCCCGGCTATACCCCCAGATGCTGGGTACCCCTTTTAGTCACCTTTTACGACATGCATGAGCTACAGTGAGACTATTCTGTCATCCCCGGTCACCAGGGATTTGAATCGCAATAGATTTAACATGCATCAGCCCCGGCTTCAAGGTGGGTCTTTTGTGGCATCAAGGATTGAACCCACGAGTTAATGAAAGTTACCGACCGCTAGTCAGCGACCTTGACCACTAGGTTACAGCGGCTACAAGGGTTATGTTAATCGCTGTTGTGGGATGATAATCTAAATTAAGAAAGTTATTAATTGAAATTCAAGCTTGCAGATTAGAAAGTGTAGCATGTCAAAAACGAGAAAAATAAAAATATGTACCTGTCTTTTAGAATTCATTCAAGTAAAAGGAAAAAACTGAATATGTTTCAATTTGAAAAGATACCGTCATTTCATAATCCTTAAAATGTTCTCAAAAGTTTTCGTAGCCCCGCTTCAACAAAACATTTTATAAACTCGAAGAAAAAAATAAATCAAGTTATTTATTAACGTTGTTCTTAGAAGCAACACTGAGTCTATTGGCAACGGCCCTCGTAATTTTGAACAACATTCAAGTGAAGTGAAAAATACCCGTAAGTATCTAATCTGGCATCCCATTCTTCTAGCTTCCCCATCATCCCAACGCGAGAATTTTGAGCTCTGACAAAATTTGACGGCTGCTGCAAGATTGGTTTTTAGTGACATCAGCACACGAACCCGTAACTCGACAGTAACAACGCCAGCCACGAGCTCGTGACCTTGACTGTTCCTGAAGCAACCGGAAAAAAAAAAACCGAATTCGTGGAGGAGATATGGTATAACAGCCTTTATTTTCCATATCGCTCATGAATCAAAGTAAAGAGAAATATTTAAAAAAAAAGAAATAACCACAAATCCCCCCTCCTCCTGTAAAGCCACCCGTAAGGAAAGCAGTCGATTCAAGAATTTCTATTATCTCAGAAATTGTTTATTTAAACGAGAATCTCCATCAACTGTGAACTCGATTAATGATGAGGGCTTTTGGTGCAATTATTGACAATGAGTAATTGCCAGTCAAGGCTTACGGCTCAAGAGCCAATGCTGCGACTAATGACAATGTCAAATTAATTAAAAATTATCAGCTCTTTCAGGTTAATACTTGCAAATATAGTGTTCTGGAATGTTCCAAAAAACAGTCGTCTTTTATCATTATGTGGAATTAATCGCCGGCGAATGTTCTGCAGAAACAGTTTCATTCAGAGGTTCTGAATCCTCATGCTGGTCTCTTACAACTGGTTCTTGCAGCTGTTGAAAAGCTTGTGTGTGATTCAGAAACTCTTCAAACTCTTCTATAGTAATAGAGGATATTGGTTCTTGGTGCTCATTAGGGAACTCTTCTTCATAATCAGAAGTTTCTTCATCGAGATAGCTGTATTCAACAATTTCGTCGCTGTCCAATTCCTCCTCTTGTACGAATTTTGCTGTAGGTAGAGGATAAGGTCCTGGGAAATCCGAATGTGGCATGCTTTCAATAACCTGTCAAGAATAGATTTGAACAAATATTAATGTCATTGTGCATCTTAGAAATGTGATACTGAAAGAGTTATAGTGGACAAGAGCTAATTGTGGTCATGTCGAACAAAGTAATGCGATAGAACATTAAATCAACTTCTCGCTTTGATATTGTGGGAAGATTAATAACTCTAAAAATCCCGGTGACTGAAAAATTAAATACTGAGAGTAAAATTTTAACACAAACAATGATGCTTAGGTTAAAATAGCATACAAAACAGAGTTAACGATCAAGAGTAAAAGCGTGGCATACACAGTGACTATAGTAGATTTTTATTTGGATTTATTAGCCGGGATCTTTTGATTAAATCTGCAGCCTGCATTGACCAGGAATCATTCAAATCTTAAATACAATCATCACTGTCTTCAAGGCTTAGAGTAGGTATGCTATTTTTATGTTGATCTGTATTTTCATTTGTATATCAAGTGGTGATTTACTTCCTAGTGTGGATGCGATACATATCTGTGTGTGAGTTCTAGACATGGTTTTGGTTTTCAGGGACTGAGTTGCGGCGCTTTAACAGAGGAAGGTATATTGCAGGATATAGAAATTGAAGGCTTTGATTTAATTTTTAGGGCATTTATAGATCGTAAAAGAGGCACCTGAGTGGATAAAGGCGATGTAAAAACTGCAGATGAATTAATTGCAATGACAATAATTTGAAACATTGCAATCTTGATTTGTTTGAATGGTAAAGGAAAGAGATTGTTCTATTCATGACGCATTGAGAAACAACACGAGGGATATTGGCGATGGACTAAGTAGTTTTGAACTTCAGTCAAGTGAGAACGGCACCGGAGTTAGCACCTCCCTCTCGAAACTTCCATTCCATGCCAATGGAAGGTCTGGGGACTTTGACCAGAATTAACATGAATCAACCTCACCACTTGACAAGAATCGATTTGAACAAATATTAAAGTACAAATAAGACTGCGTGTCTTAGAAATGTGACACGAACGTGAGTTATAGTGGATTTTAATGGTACAAGAGCTAGATGTGGTCTTTAGTGGCATCAGGACTTGAACTCACGACTGACGAAAGTCCATGACAATGGTCACGGCAACAGTAAATTAGTAACCGGGAGTGGGGTTGTTGATGACTGTGGTACTATTTTGTTTTCAAGCTTTCGAATAGGAAATATTTTAGGTTTTTATTTCTTAACCTGTTTTTCTGTTTTCAGGCATAACTTTGAATAAGAAGGATGAGACAGGGAACAATTAATACAATTTGGCTACAGATGGCAATCCGTGGAAGAATGTCCAACAGATGCGAATCTATAGCATGCCACAATTGCTTCCTGCAGGCAGTTTGTGAATAGCTGAATTTGTGACGCTTAAAACAGCTCAACAGATTCAGGATGCAAGGGCGGATTCGGTAATTTAGATATTCTCTTTAATAGTAATGAGGGTAACCGAGTACAATTAAGGCTCCCGCCTAACCACCATTTTGATTTCACGGATGTAATGTTAATCCTATGGAATTTCGACTACCATTCTCAAATCTTTACCATTTGATATATTTGAATTCGATTAAGTGCATCTGAAAGAGTAAAAAATAATAAAGTCTTCAGTGGAATTACTTTCTTTTTTCGATTCTTAAAAATATTTTTTTAAAGACCAGAAAACTCACAAACAAATCATTAAAATAGGGGTAAAAATATTTTTGAAAATCGGAGAAAAAAAGTAATTCCGCAAAAGCAGTCATTATTTTTTGCTCTTTCAAAAACACTTTACTATTTTATCTATTTGAATGAAATAAGATCCTTGGCTGCCAAAGACCCGCCGTGTTGCCGGGGCTGATGCACGTTAAATCTGTTCGGGGCCCAAAGTCCTCCCGTTGGCGTGGTGTGGATGTTAGGAGAGGGGGTGCCAGCTCAGGTGTCGTCCTCGTCACTTGACCGTGGTTCAAAATTACGAGGTCCGTCGCCAATAGCCCTAGTGTTGCTTCTAGTGCGACGTTAATATAAAACTAAACTAAACTTGAATGAAATAAAGATATGAGAATGGTTGTCGAAATTCCATAGGATTAACATTACGTCCACGAAGTCAAAAGGGCCGATAGACGGGAGCTTTAAGCATTAAAATTAAATGTATTGTTAAAAAAGGCGAGATGTTATTTCTTTTGATTGTGATCCTTCTAATCCAAGTGACACCCTGTTCAAGAAATTTATAGAGGATATCTGTTTCAAATGTGCATAACAAGTCAGGTTCATACCTAACATTATGACAAGTGTTTAAAGATTTGTGTAGATAGAATATCAGGGGAGAATCTAGAAACATTTTTGCGGATAAGAATGACTGAGGTAGTAAAGTGACCAGTTTGTTAATAACTCACTTGATTGTAATTTTTTCTCTCTTTCAAACTGGGTTCACCACCAATAACTTGCTCATCCTTTTGTATAGAGATATTGAAATTTACAGGACATTTCATTGTTAGGTAGAGAGAGAGAACTGAAAATCGCGTGTGAGTTGCAATGAAATCATTGCCATCAGTGCCAAAGGCGAGGTAGGTGAAATGAGTCCTTTACCCGAGTACAAAAGAGAAATATCCGTATTACACATATATATATTCCTTTTAGGGCGTTTCCATTTACCAAGGAGTTCAACAAGGGAAACAGACTGTCGATCAACTGTCTGTAGCGGGGCTCAGCATTTACTAGTGGTCATCGAGTTTTATAACGCTCTTGGAAGCGATTAGAGGACTATTGGCAACAGATTTTACAATTTTGAACCGCGATACAGTGACAAGATGGCGCTCGAACAGGCACCTCCCTCTCCAAACTTCCAAACCACGGCAACGGGAGAACTTGGAGCCTCAACAGATTTTTCATGTATCGGCATGTAATACTTTGAATCGGGAGTGCCTCGATCAAGTGCCAATGACTTCCCCCGAGCTGGCATCCTACTCTCGTCGACTTCCACACCATCACAAATGAGGATTTTGAGCCCCGACAGATTTAACATGAGCAATCCCCTCACTTGACGGTTTTTTTATTAGCATCAAAA